AAAAAAAAAAAAAAAAAAATAGGTGTGCCAACTTAGCCCAACAGTAGGAATGACCTGAGGAGCATCTCCTTTTAAAACAACAAAAAAAAATTATTTATGTATCATATTTATTATTTTTGAAAATAAGGTCTCAATCTGTTGCCCAGGCTAGAATGCAGTGGCACAATCATAGCTCACTGTAGCCTCCACCTCCTGGGCTCCAAAGATCCTCCCACATCAGCCTTCCAAGTAGCTGGAACCACAGGTATGCTCCACCACACCGGGCTCATTTTTTTTATTTTTGTAGAGACGAGGTCTATGTTGGTTAGGCTGGTCTCAAACTCCTGGGCTCAAGGATCCTCCTGCCTCGCCTCCTGAGCGATTACAGGCGTGAGCCACAGTGCCCAGCGAGAAGCATCTCCTATTGCAGGTGGTGCTGCATGCTATGGGGTTAAGAAAAATGACCTCTTCTAACCTCTGGGCAGTGGGCTACAGCTGTCATGGCACTTTTGAAATCCAGAGTAGCAGACTCCTCCATGTGTGATTAAAACCAGCAAGTATTTCTATAATTTCCACAACTTGATAATGCCTCTCAATGCAGAAATTTCTTTCCAAAATTCACAACCTGGTCAGTACGACAGCCTCAACCTTCCTTCCTCCCGTTTTGCTCGGAAAAGGTAGGAAACAGCTGGTCACCAACTGATACATCACCAGCGAAATTATACAAATTCTAGAACCTGAAACGGATGCAACACACCCCTTTACCACACAGCTACTTTGTTCTGAGACGACAAACTAATTTTAATATTACTCTAAGTCCAAGCTATTTAGAATAGGAAAATCTGCTTGTTAAACTGATTGCTAAGAAAAATGTAGACCATTTTAGGCCGGGCACGGTGGCTCATGCCTGTAATCCTAGCACTTTGGGAGGCCAAGGTGGGTGGATCACGAGGTCAGAAGTTCAAGACCAGCCTGGCTAAGATGGTGAAACCCCATCTCTACTAAAAATACAAAAAAAGTAGCCAGGCACAGTAGCAGGCGCCTGTAATCCAAGCTACTCCGGAGGCTGAAGCAGGAGAATCGCTTGAATCTGGACAGCAGAGGTTGCAGTGAGCCGAGATCACACCACTGCACTGCAGCCTGGGCAACAGAGTGAGACTCTGTCTCAAAAAAAAAAAAAAAAGAAAAATGTAGACTATTTTATATTGCCAAAACCTTTTAGAATAATAAAGTGCCCTCACATATATTACCTCACTTGATCTACACAACAAACTTGTAAAGTGCATTTCATTCACCCTTTTTCCAAAAGTTGAAACAGATGCTCAGAGGGATTACACTACTTGCTCCAACAAGACTTCAGCTAACACAGAAGCAGTTTATCATCCTTGGTGCCCTTCTTCACCCCGAATCCTCCTCTCAGAAATTCTCCTTCTTGGTTCCATGAAAAAGAAGGGTTCAGGCTCCTTTCTTTCTACCGGCTCCCAGCATGCCTAGGCGGGATATAACCCTAGCATAACACATTCGTGACACAAAGGATGCTTTACTGTGGAAAAACAAAAGCAGGTAACAGATGCTTAACCTCACACACAGCAGTTAGAAAACTGCCCATGGGCCTCGTGTGGTGGCTCATGCTTGTAATCCCCGCGCTTTGGGAGGCCGAGGTACGCAGACTACTTGAGCCTAGGAGTTTGAGACCAGCCTGGGTGACATGGCAAGACCCTGTCTCTACAAAAAATACAAAAATTAGCCAGGCGTGGTGGTGTGCACCTGTTGTCCCAGCTACTCAGGAGGCTGAGGTGGGAGATGGCTCGAGTCCGGGAGGTGGAGGCTGCAGTGGGCCAAGATCGTGCCACTGCATTCAAACCTGGCAAGAGTGGGACCCTGTCTCCAAAGAGAGGAAGAAAACTTAAGATACTCATTCCAGACCACAAAACTCTGCATAGCAAAGCTGAGTCTAGGGCCCAAATCCTCTGACTCTATGGGTGCAGTTCTTTCTACAACAGAGATTTAGTCACTCATCCAGTCCACGTTTATGAAGCACCCATCTAATACCAGGTATTGCGCCAGACACTGGGGACTCGGGGGTGACACGCCAGCAGCAGTCCTTGCCTGCATGGAGCCTTAGAGCCAGGGATTCTTACCACAGCACAGACAGAAACGACTTCTGAATCACCTGCTGCCCCAGATGGGCACCACCCTCAAATTCATCAGAGCAGGGAATCCCGAGCTGACCTTTGAACTATGGGCCAGCCTTGGACAGTAAATAGTACAAATGTCTAGGAGAGGGAAAAGCAGACCAGTGCTCCAGGCTTCACAGCCTTGCCTTTCCAGTTTGTGGCACTCAGCCAGAGAGACAGGAAGTCCAAGCTGCGACATCACTGGTAGCTGCGTTCAGGAGCCCATCCCTTAGGGCACCTTCTCCCCGAATCCCAATCTCACCTCAAAAGCCACACGGTCTGACTGGTATTGCCGCTCGGCCTCCTGAAGCTTGGCCAGCAAGTCCTTCACAGTCTTCCTCAAGCTCTCAACATCCTCATTTATACAGATGTCCACCTACAGCCAGGGCAAGGAAGGGAAAGGGAAGCCATCAAGTTTCTGACTTGGTAAGAAAAGGTCCCCTCCCAGCCACACACTGGTTTGGATCATCTCATTTAGACCACCCTCACAAAAGAATTATCATCACACAAGGGGAGAGTTAGGCAAGCAAATTTTGCTTAGGCAAGCAAAAATTCTGAGTTACTCAATGACACATCATCCCTTCATAACCTAAAGAACTGGCTGGGCATGGTGGCTCACGCCTGTAATCCCAGCACTTTGGGAGGCTGAGGCGGGTCGATCTCCTCGATCTCCTGAGGTCAGGAGTTCGAGACCAGACTGACCAACATGGGGAGACCCTGTTCCCACTAAAAATACAAAAAATTAGTCAGGTGTGGTGGCGCATGCCTGTAATCCCAGCTACTCAGGAGGCTGAGGCAGGAGAATCACTTGAACCCAGCAAGCGGAGGTTGCAGTGAGCCAAGATCACGCCACTGCACTCCAGCCTGGGCATCAAGAACAAAAACTCCATCTAAAACAAAAACAAAAACAAAAAAGCCAAGCTAGCCTCAAAACACCCAATTATTTTAGGACATGCTCAGTAATATTTCATGTATGTATCCACCAATCGGTTTCTTGGCGAGTATGTGCATGCCATCTATAGGTATGCATCCCGCTTCCCTCTATCTGCCTAGAGCTCTCTGAGAGCAGAGACCATGCTCCCCTTGGAACTACAGTTCCCACAGGACAGGGACTGTGTCACACCCATCACAAAGGGAGTGGTCTAAAAGCACAGCCTTTACCATTCTCAGCTTCTGGCACTGAGAGCAGCATACAGAGGGTTACTGAGGGATGGCCAGGTTTAGGGCAAAAGCATGCAATGAGTCCAGGAATCTGATTCAATGTAGAAAAAGGCGTCTCATCGAGGTAACTGCTCAATCTCTCCCAGACACACCCAATCGTGGGCTGGTGGTTAGAGATGAGCAGACATGTAGGGTCTCGCCCCCATCTCTGCTGCACGGGAACCAGACACTTCAATTACAAGCTCCCTGTGAGTCTGACAGAAAAATCTCTCCCTGTCTTGCACTGTGGGAAGCAGCAATGCCTTCAAACCAGAGCTCAGAGCTTTCAGCTGGGAGGAGGAAGACAGGGTCCCAGTTTCTGCATTATCGTTGGGTCCTGTGGGCCTTCATTTCTTTATCTGTAAAGCAGTGAGTACACTCCCTACCACACCCTGCCTCACAGGCTGCCTCAAAACTAGGTAAGATAACATCCGGTACAGCTTTGAGCTTGTGAGAAGAAAGAGGCCAAACAGATATTACCAGGTCTTATTGTAATTTGTTGCCAACAATATATTTGCCAAATACGGTGATTCAAAGGAAGGAGAAAGTCCAAACTGCACATCTAAAGCAAGTGGTTAGAATCACAGCATTCCAAATCTAGGTGTCATAAGTTATCCAATTTCCCTAAATCCTCACCTGAACCAATGGCCAGGTGAAAATGTTTTAAAAGGCTCCTGAAACACAACTATTATGCACTTTTTTCAAAGAGTGTTCTCATAAGACTGTTTAATGACACGGAAAACTTTCATGAAAATATTATTTCATCATAGGATATAATATGAAGCAAAAAAAACTAGGTTATAAAACTACATGTAGGAGGCAGAAGCAATGAACTAGATTTTGATACAGCCATGTAGATAGATCCTAAAAATGTGGTGCCAGGGGAAAAAAAGAACCAAGAGAAAAGAAGACAAAACACAAGTGCATCATGTATATTGAAAACATTTCACAGGCACGTTTAAAGCCATATATTGAATTCATTAGAGTGAGTGCCTCCTGCAGGAAGCGGAGAGGCAAAAAAAAAAAAACAACTAAAAACTAAAACCAGTGAGAGGCCTTGACAGGACCCCTGAACTAATGGGTGGTTCCAATTCAACCTATACTTGAGGATCAAAAACACCCAGTGCAAAAACATACCCAACCAAAGAAACAAAAAATTATAAAGAAATGCTACATACTGTACAATACAAATATTGTAAATATATATTTGCATTCAGGGAAAGACAAAATTTCACTGTGATTTTTATCTGAGTAGATTACAAGTGACGTTTGTTTCTTCTTTCACTTTTCTGTTTCTGAATTTTCCAAATTTTCTTTTTTTTTTTTTTTTTTTTTTTGAGACGGAGTTTCGCTCTTGTTACCCAGGCTGGAGTGCAATGGCGCGATCTCAGCTCACCGCAACCTCCGCCTCCCTGGTTCAGGCAATTTTCCTGCCCCAGCCTCCTGAGTAGCTGGGATTATAGGCACGCGCCACCATGCCCAGCTAATTTTTTGTAGTTTTAGTAGAGACGGGGCTTCACCGTGTTGACCAGGATGGTCTTGATCTCTTGACCTCGTGATCCACCCGCCTCGGCCTCCCACAGTGCTGGGATTACAGGCTTGAGCCACCGCGCCCAGCCTCCAAATTTTCTACAATATGCATGTTTTGTATACGATCACAAAAAAATAATAACAAACTTTTTTTTTTTAAAGTACAGTCATGGTGGCCAGGCGCAGTGGCTCATGCCTGTAATCTCAACACTTTGGGAGACCAAGGTGGGTGGATCACCTGAGGTCAGGAGTTCGAGACCAGCCTAGCCAACATGGTGAAACCCCATCTCTACTAAAAATACAAACATTAGCCAGGCATGATGGCTCATGCCTGTAGTCCCAGCTACTTAGGAGGCTGAAGCAAGAGAATCACTTGAATCCAGGAGGTGGTGGGTTGCAGTGAGCCAAAACCACACCACTGCACTCCAGCCTGGGTGAAAGAGTGAGACTCCAACTCAAACAATAAAAAATAAAGTACACTCATGGAGGCCAGGTGCAGTAGCTCATGCCTGTAATTCCCAAAACTTTGGGAGGCCAAGGTGGGCAGATCACTTAAACTCAGGAGTTTGAGATAAGCCTGGGAAACATGATGAGACCCTGTCTTTACAAAATAATACAAAATTAGCCAGGTGTGGTGGCACATGTCTATAGTCCCAGCTACTCAGGAGGCTGAAGCAGGAGGACTGCCTGCCAAGAGGTCGAGGCTATAATGAGCCATGATTACACCACTGCACTCCAGCTAAGATGACATGAGGAGACCCTGTCTCAAAAAATAATAATAATAAAAATTTAAAAATAGGCCAGGCGCAGTGGCTCATGCCTGTAATCCCAGCACTGTGGGAGGCCAAGGTAAGCAGATCACTTGAGCCCAAGATTCAAGACCAGCCTGGGCAACCCCATCTCTACAAAAATTAGCCAGGCATAGTGGTGCATGCCCTCTAGTCCCAGCTACTGAGGTGGGGGGACTGCATGAACCCCAGTGTCGAGGCTGCAGTGAGCCATGATCACCACTGCACTCCAGCCTGGGCGACAGAGTGAGACTCTGTCAATCAGTTCATCAGTCAAGTACAGCCATGGAAAGAAATATTATGCAGTTATTCAAAAGAATGAGGTAGATCTATATGTACTGACATGGAAAGAAAGTTACAATATACTCTTTTAGTTAAAAAAAAAAAAAGCAAGCAAAGAATAATGAATTTACTATGATCTTATAGTTAAGAAAAGCACATGTATGTTATATACATATATTTATCATGTACATATGGTGTATATATAACATATTCACAATATTTAAATATGGTTGTCTATGTACATCAAAATACTCTAGAATACTGGCACTCAACTGCAGCTAAACATTAGTATCACCTGAGGAGCTCTTAAATGTCCTGATGCCCAGGCCACTGATCAGAACAATGAAATGACAAGCTCTAGGGATAGGACCCAGGCATCATATCTTTTAAAGCTTGCAAGGCCATTCCAATGAGCAGCTGAGGCTGAGAATCACTGCCCTAGAAAGATCCACCCACTTCAATCTGTTAACAGTGGTTACTTGCAAGGAGTGAGACTGGGGAAGGATAATTTCCACTCTTTATATTTCTCTGTTGTTTGAATTTTTATGTCAACTACTACTCTTGTATTTAATGAGAGAGAAAAAGCAATAAACAAAGGGATGGGGAGGAGGCGATGCCGCCCCTGGCTAAGCAGAGCACCGAGGTGTCCTCTGTTACCTACCTCAGGTGAGCTGCTGTACAGGGCCGGGGGACTCTGACTAAAGCCATTTGGCTTTTCTAGCACCACCTGTTCAAAGAGAAATAAAATTGGTAGTTAAAACACATGAAAGCAACCAGCTTCGAAATATTACTCTCCTAACACTCAAATCTTAGAAAGACCCGGAGAGTGAGAGGAAGGAGACGGGAGGGAAGGAGAGAGAAAAAGAAAGGGAGGGAGAAAAAAGAAGGAATGAAGAAAGGAAAGGAGAAGAAGAGGGAAGGAAGGGAAAGAAAAAGAGATTTACAGTGTTCCATGAGAAAACAGAAACAAGCGGGGATGGAGAAATGTATGTGGCCTGGAGAGGGGATACCCTCGTCTTGCAGGGAGGATGAAAAAACCTCAGGCTAAAACCTTTCAGCAGGTGGAAAAATATGTGGGGCCCATTCCTCCTAGCCAGGGAATACAAGCAGCTGCCTGCCACAAACAAAGGGCTTTCCTGCCTCCAGGGATCCTGACAAAGTTTGACAAAGCAAAAATCACAAAGGGAAGCAGCTTTTTCAATTCTTTCTGACCCGAAGCCTGATTATTCATCGTATGACAGCTGCAGCTGGTTCGTGCAAACAAGGGGGCCAGACTTTGGGCCAATCTCTGAGCACATTAAGTTCTTCCACCTGACAAAGCAGCTCTCACTAGGCAGAGGTGAGCTCAGGCACTGAAAGGCCTACCTTCAGCCAAAGCAAAAATTAGGGAATGTTCCACCACACTTGAGTGCATGCTCAAGACAAAAAACTTTCCTTTCACCAGCTGCTGGGCCACCGTTCCCTTTTCAAGAGAATGAAGGCAGGGGCTGCTGCTGGTGCAAGACACCCTGCCAGAATCAAAATGCAAATAAAGGATACAACTCAGTAGGCCAGGCATGATGGCTCACTTTGGGAGGCCTAGGTGGGCAGATCACAAGGTCAGGAGTTCAAGACCAGCCTGGCCAATATGGTCAAACCCATCTCTACTAAAAATACAAAAAAATTAGCTGGGCGTGGTGGCTTGTGCCTGCAGTCCCAGCTGCTCAGGAGGCTGAGGCAGAAGAATCACTAGAATCTGGGGGGTGAGGTTGCAGTGAGCTGAGATCGAGCCACTGCACTCCAGCCTGGGCGACAGAGCAACACTCCATCTCAAAAAAAAAAAAAAAAAAAAAAAAATACAACTCAGAATCTAAAGGAGGATGAGGGTAAAGTCACAACTCTGTGATAGACAGACAGCTCTGCTCTGCTCTCCTGAGGACATTTCTGTCCCCGAGTTTTGGAAAAGCTGAAAAGCAGGGTCCCAGGATTATCCATCCCAGAAAAGACTTATACAATTTGTTCAGTATAACAAATATTTATTGATGCCTTCTATACCCCAGACCTGGAGGGAGTGGGAAGGTGAGGATACAGACACAGGGTGGGGGTGGGTGAACTCCTAACCTTGAGGAGCTTCCTGTCCCAGGCTAGACATAACTATACACAAGCTTAATAACAGGCTAGGGCAAGGACTTCCATTTACACTACAGGTGTCACCAAAACTAAGCAAGATCAGCTTATGAGAAGTGTGGATTTACAGGTGATTGTCTGCTTTATAAAACTCTACTACTATAAGAAGCTTGATCACAGAATCCTTATAGATAAGAGGCTTTGCTAACAACTGATGATATTTAATTTATTTAAGTTCAGTTTCTGTACAGTATTTCAGGAGGTGTACTAATGCTTAAGCTGACATGTGTTAAGTGTAATTGCTCATTGACTGGAGAGTCCTAACTGCATTGTGAGTGCTCAAAGGAGCCAGCATCACCTCTACATTTTCCATTCCCAGCAGGGGTGCTAGATTCGGCACACACTGGGTAAACGGCCCGGCACAACCCCACCTCCTCAGTGGGAACCCAACCACGGACCATATCCTATTACCTGTATCTCCTGTCGATGGAGAGAATCTCCTAGGTCCCTGTCAAGCTTGCTACTTATATCCTCCCGAAGCTTCTGCAGGCAGTTCCTGGCCTGGGAGGGGAGGGCAAGAAACTTGAGCTTTAGGGTAGAGAAAGAGAGCACACCAACTCACACAACTCTGTGCCCCATCCCCGGCCCGAACTACGAGTCAGGCACTGTCCTAAGTACTGGCTGAAGGATGGAGGGAGGAACCCTGGTCAAGCGGGGCTACAGCTGACATTCTAGTTGGGGAGACACACAACACAAAAGACAAATAAGCAAAATGTGTAATATGTCATATGCGGATAAGTGCCAACGAGAAACATGAGCCAGGAAGAGAGTTAAGAAATGCTATGAAAGGCGGCTGGTAATTTTTGATAGGATGGCTGGGGACAGTGCTAGGCACACAGTACTTGTATTTGTGGATTAATGGATCAGGTATGAAGGGTCAAAAGTGGTATGTGATACACGGGAGGGCATGGTGGCATTTCAGAGACATAAAGGAAAAAGAAGGGGAAAAACCAGAATCCACAAAAGGCAGCAACCAAAAAAATGTGAGGTTCAGAGACAGGACCTAGGCCCCGCATGAGAGGGAAGGCGGGCCCACCTCCTGGATGTACTGGACCTCACTCTTCAGCTGGTTAATATTCTTCTCGTGGGTCATCTTGTCCCCAGACCTCCCCTTCAAGTACACCTGAAAGAAGAACACTATTTGGTTAAGAAACCTCAAATTAACTATTCAAAAATAGGCAGCATCACACAGTGCTGGTGAGAGGGCAAATTGTTACCAGCCATTTACTGGGTGGAATTTGGTGATTCAGATCATAAGACCTAAAAACATATTTACTTTTTGGTCTATCAACTCCACTTCTGGAAATTTACCCTAATGCAATAAATTTAGCTAAATGCTATATAGCCATGGTGGCATAAACACTCACATATATACAATCATGCATCACTTAATCATAGGAATACATTCTGAAGGATGCAGCATTAGGCAATTTCATCCCTGTACACACATCACAGAGTGTACACGCATCACAGAGTGTACATGCACAACTTAGATGGCATGGCCTCCTGCATCCCGAGGCTGTATGGTGTAGCCTCCTGCGCCTAGGCTACAAACTGCACAGCATGCTACTACACTGAATACTGTAGGCGATTATCACACAATGCTAAGTGTTTATGTATCTAAACCTAGAAAAAAATACAATAAAAATGGGGTATGATAACCTTATGGGGCCACTATTGTATATGCAGTCCATCACGGACCCAAACGTTGTTATACAGCACATAACTGAACTGTAACTGCATCAATCATATGATATGGAAATTATATCTCAAAAAGTGGTTTTATTTAAAAAAGAGAAATAACAAGAATAATTTTAAAAATTATTTATTTATTTATTTTTGAGACAGAGTCTCACTCTGTCACCCAGGCTGGAGTGCAGTGGTGCAATCTTGGCTCATTACAACCTCCACCCCTCGGGTTCAAGCAATTCTCCTGCCTCAGCCTCCCGAGTAGCTGGGATTACAGGTGCCCACCACCACACCCAGCTAATTTTTGTATTTTTAGTAGAGACGGAGTTTCAGTATATTGGCCAGACTGGTCTGGAACTCCTGACCTTGTGATCCACCTGCCTCAGCCTCCCAAAGGGTTGAGATTACAGGCATGAGCCACTGCACCCGGCCAAATCATTTTGTTTTTAAAAAATAAGTTCCATCGGCCAGCTGGGGTGGTGTATGCCTATAATACCAGCATTTTGGGAGGCTGAGGCAGGAGGATTGCTTGAGCCCAGGAGTTGGAGACCAGCTCAGGCAACACAGGAAGACTGTCTCTGCAAAACTAAAAATATATAAATAAATAAATAAGTTCCATCAGGATGAACCCATTATAGGAAAATAGTAAGTTCCATAAACACACCTCCCACCTCCCTCCACAACCTCCAGCAGCAAAACATGGACAGTGGATAGGCTCCTCGTAAGGTAATCCAGTCCACCCCCTTGCCTGGGGCCAGGCTGCACCAAAGTTGCTAACAGGCCAACTGTAGTCTCCTGGTATTAATTAAGACATTTCCAGAAGATTGCCAGGAACTGGCATCTCAGGTCGGGTTCCTTCTACCAAACCACAAGCTCCCTTTGGCAACGACATCAACTGCCCCCTCTCATGTATGTGCAGGAAGAAAGAGAGCAGGGAGAAAAGGTGGAGGTGAACTAAGCTTACCTTAATGATCTCCTCATGTCCATCATGGGACTCTACCAGTTCTGAAGCCAGAGAATGACCAGCTGAGCGGCCAGACACCATGGCGTAGGTCTTCCTGCCCGCCTGGCCAAAGAGAGATGAGAGAGAGAGAAGTGGCTCAGAAACCACATGGCAAGCCCAGGATTCCTGCCCCTCAACCAGTGCAGAAGACCTGATTCTCAAAAGACTTGAAGGGTTAGTCTGACTTTCCTCTGCAAAAATTCGTTTCAGAAATTCTAGAAGCCACACAGCAGCAAGAACACTGGCCGGGGAAAATTGGCAGAAACAGCAGGTTAGTTTTAATTTTAGTGGGGGATTCCTCCTGTTCCAAAGCAATGCACAAGGCTGAGACAAGCTGGATGTTGCTGAAAGGAGGTGCTCCCACGCTCCCCACGGCAGAGATGGCTCCAGGCAGCACTTGGGTAAGGCGCCCGCAGCAAGGAAGCACTGGTGTGGGGAGGGAGCCACGCCCACCAGAATTCCGCAGTACCTTCTGGGCTATGTGCTCAAGTTCATCTCCTGTCAGTTCACCCTGGAGAGTCAGCCTGAGAATGTCCACGCTGCCCTAATAATGACAATGACAGCAACAATAACCTCTCACCTTTACAGTCTACAGATACAAAGTGCTAACGGGACACAGGTGCTTCTGCCAGCCCTGTGGAGCAAGCCTTATCACCACCACTTCACAGACAAGGAAAACTGAAGTCCAGGGAGGTAGCTTAGGTTGCCCAAGATCAGGTGTTTGGGGTGACCCTGGGACCATCTGACAGTTCTTTCTGTCACAACAGAGTCTACACAGCACACTGCTCTGTACAGCTCCAGCGGGGCTACCCTGGTTCGTGGACTGCAGGGAACACGTTGCATGTACTCTTCTTTCTCCAGCTGTGGAGAGGTCATTCCTGGACTGCTCATCCTCAGTCCAGGATTTCTGCTCCTGACAACCAGACAGCAAGTTATTGATGTACTTTACAAGACTAGCATATTCTTCCTGAACTAAACTATAGGAAAATACCTGAATTCAAACTCCCATTTCTTTGAGCCACACAGAAATTATCTAAGTGAAAGCAGGCAAGATAATAGATACTTATCAGGAGATCAACCTAGTCTCAAAGAATGAAGCGGGTTTTCCTTCATAAGTCAAAGAAGGGTGTATGTGTGTGTGTGTGTGTGTGTGTGTGTGTGTGTGCATGTGTGCATGCGTGCGTGTGTGCACGCGCGCACGCTTTTGAGACAGTCTCCCTCTGTTGCCCAGGCTGGAGTGCAATGGTGCAATCTCGGCTCACTGCAGCCTCCACCTCCCGGATTCAAGCGATTCTTCTGCCTCAGCCTCCAGAATAGCTGGGATTACAGGCACTCACCATCACGCCTGGCTAATTTTTGTATTTTTAGTAGAGATGGGGTTTTACCATATTGGCCAGGCTGGTCTGGAATTCCTGACCACATGATCAGCCCACCTCAGCCTCCCAAAGTGCTGGGATTACAGGCATGAGCCACCACACCTGGCCCCCAAATCAGGATTACAGGCTCATGCCTGTAATCCCAGCACTTTGGGAGGCCAAGGTGGGCAGATCACCTGAGGTCAGAAGATCGAGATCAGCCTGGCCAACATGGTAAAACCCCATCTCTACTAAAAATACAGAAAAACTAGCCAGGCATGGTGGTGGGCACCTATAATCCCAGCTACTGGGGAGGCTGAGGCAGAAGAATCACTTAAACCCGGGAGGCAGAGGCTGCAATGAGCAGAGATCGTGTCATTGCACTCCAGCCTGGGCAACAGAGTGAGACTCCATCTCAAAAAAAAGAAAGAAACAAAATGTATGGAGGTTACTCTCTGCCACAGGAGGTGACACTGAAACACCAGCCTCCTCCCACTTCTTGGAATGAATCCAAATGTAAGAAAGACAGAAGACACTGCCACAATGGCCTTAGACCTTCCCAACCCTAGCAAAGTAGCGGGTTTTATAAAAGCATTGAACTCCTATGAAATAAAAGCCACATCCTTAAAGTAGCATACAAGTCTCTCCACAGTCTGGGGAAACTCACCCCTCTTTCTACCGTCTCAGTGCCCCACCTGATACATTCCATGGTTTCCAACTTCAGTGCCTTTGCTCCCATCATTTGCTGTGCCTTAAATATCTGTTCTTCCCATTTTCACCTAGGGTATCTGCAAGTTCCTCAAGAGTTCATGTTCAAATGCCTCATCTTCCATGATGCTACCCTGCATCCTGTGGGAAACACACCTTCCCCTCCCTGAACTCCCACAGCATCATAGGGCCTCCCATGGCATCTGCTTCTCAGTTATTTGTGTTCGGTGAAGATTTACCCATTCTGTTAACTCCTTGAGAGCTGTTGTATGCCACAGCCCTTAGCAAAGGTATTTTCTGAATGCTCCACAACATCTAGGTCAAGAGAATATTACAGAAGAAAGAAGAGGAAATGATTTCAAAATAGCCAGAATGGCTGCCAATTCTTTCTTCCCAGGACATACTTGCACTTTTATTAAAATATTATCTCAGCCGGGTATGGTGGGTCACACCTATCCCAGGACTTTGAGAGGCCAAGGCGGGTGGATCACCTGAGGTCAGGAGTTCGAGACAAGCCTGGCCAGCATAGTGAAACCCCATTTCTACTAAAAATACACAACTCAGCCAGGTGTGGTGGCAGGCACCTGCAATCTCAGCTACTGGGGAGGCTTAGGCAGAAGAATCACTTCAATCTGGGAGGCAGAGGTTCCAGGGAGCCAAAATCACACCACTGCACTCCAGCTTGGGCAACAGAGCAAGACTCCACCTAAAAAAACAAAAACAAAACAAAACAAAACAAAAAAACCACTATCTTCCCATACCTGGAGGCAGCTGGGAAAAGGCAGGGCATCCTTCAGTCAGAACAAAAGAGTTATTAGCTAATGAAGGTCAAGTCTGGTCTGTTTCATAAACCCAGGCTCTTCCAATTAGAAGAGCATAGACAACCAGGCTGGACTGGGGCACTGAGAGATGATTCCATCCAGTCATCAGAATTCCAGGTAGAGAGGAGAAAGAGGGTGAGTTGAAATGTTCTCAAAGAAATAATGACCAAACAGTTTCAAAATTTGGCAAAAGACACAAACCTATAGATTCAAAAAGCTAGGCAACCCTCAAACAGAATAAACATGAAATTCATGCCATGATAGATCATAATTAAACTTCTGATTAACTAAAGACAAAGAACACATCTTGAAAGCAGAGAAAAATAACCTTTGAGGGGAAAACAATGTGAATAACCTCAGATTTCTCATCAGAAACGACAGAGGGTAGAAGGAAGCGGCATACTATTTTTCAAATGCTGAAAGAAAAGAACTGTCAATTCAGAATCCTGTCACAAAGAAAACATCCGTCAGTAACGAGGGGGAAATGAAGACATTCTCAGATGAAGGAAAACTAACAGAATTTCTCACCAGCAGACCAACACAAATAGAATGGCTAAAAAAGTTCTCTAAACAGAAAGGATATGATAAAAAAGGAAATTTGGGCCGGGCACGGTGGCTCACGCCTGTAATCCCAGCACTTTGGGAGGCCGAGGCGGGCAGATCACAAGGTCAAGAGATCGAGACCATCCTGGCCAACATGGTAAAACCCCGTCTCTACTAAAAATACAAAAATTAGCTGGGCGTGGTGGCGCGTACCTATAGTCCCAGCTACTCGGGAGGCTGAGGCAGGAGAATTGCTTGAACCCGGGAGGCGGAGGTGGCAGTGAGCCAAAATTGCGCCACTGCACTTCAGCCTGGCGCCTGGTGACAGAACAAGACTCTGTCTCAAAAAAAAAAAAAGGAAATTTGAAAAATTGGGGGGGGGCAGGGAAGAAGGGAAAAGGAAAGGGAAGGGGAAGGGAAAGGAAAGGGGAAAAGGAAAGGAAAAAGCACCTTTATTTGTAACAGCCAAAAACTAGAAACAATCCAGATGCCTCCAGCAGAGAAATGGTTGAACAAATTGTGACACATCCATTATTGTGGAATACTATTAGCAATAAAAAGGATCAAACTATTGATACACGCAACAACACTCTCCAGAGAATTTGCTGAGCGAGCCGGGCGCGGTGGCTCAAGCCTGTAATCCCAGCACTTTGGGAGGCCGAGGCGGGTGGATCACGAGGTCAAGAGATCGAGACCATCCTGGTCAACACGGTGAAACCCCGTCTCTACCAAAAATACAAAAAATTAGCTGGGCATGGTGGTGCGTGCCTGTAATCCCAGCTACTCAGGAGGTTGAGGCAGGAGAATTGCCTGAACCCAGGAGGCGGAGGTTGCGGTGAGCCGAGATCGCGCCATTGCACTCCAGCCTGGGTAACAAGAGCGAAACTCTGTCTCAAAAAAAAAAAAAAAAAAAAAGAATTTGCTGAGCGAAATGCTGTATAATTTCACTTGTGTAACATTTAAAAAATAACAAAATAATAGAAATGGGAAAAAGACTGGCAGTTACCAGGAGTTAAGAAGACGGTGGGGGTAGAAGGGAAGTGCGTGTGGTTCTCAAAGGGCAACAGGAGGGGTCCGGTCCTTGCGGTGATGGAAATGTTCTATAGCTTGACTGTATCAACGCCACTGTCCTGCTTGTGATAGAGTTCTATAGTTTTGCAAGATGCTACCACTGCAAAAAAGGAAATAAAGGCTACAGGGGATTTCTATTATTTCTTGCAACTGTATATGAATATATAATTATCTTTATTTTTTCAAGAAAAAGGAATTAATATTCCTTGAAGTTTTTCTAGGGAAAAAAAGAAAAAAAAAAAAAAAATAAGCATTTATAATCCTGCCACCCAGAAACAGCCACTATTAAAATGTTAATGTATGCCTTATAATTTTTTTTTTGAGAGGGAGTCTCATTCTGTTACCCAGGCTGGAATGCAATGGCGCAATCTTGGCTCACTGCACCCTTTGATTCCCGGGCTCAAACAATCCTCCTACCTCAGCCTCCTAAGTAGCTGGGATTACAGGTGTGCGCCACCGTATCTGGCTAAGCTTTTGTATTTTTGATAGAGACAGGGTTTCACCATGTTGCCCAGGCTGGTCTCAAACTCCTGACCTCATGTGATTTCTGCGCCGCTTTGGCCTCCCAAAGTGCTGGGATTACAGGTGTGAGCCACCATGCCTGGCCTTAAAATTTACAACTTCTATTCATCAAAAGACACTGCTAAGAGGACCGGCGTAGTGGCTCACATCTGTAATCCTACCACTTTGGGAGGTTGAGGTGTGTGGATCACCTGAGGTCAGGAGTTCCAGACCAACCTGGCCAACATGCTGAAAACCTGTCTCCACTAAAAATAAAAAAATTAACTGGATGTGGTGGCACATGCCTGTAGTCCCAGCTACTAGGCAGGCTGAGGCAGGAGGACTGTTAAACCTGGGAGGCAAAGGTTGCAGTGAGCCAAGATCGTGCTACTGCACTCCAGTCTGGGTAATGGAGTCAGACTCTGTCCAAAAAAAAAAAAAAAAAAAGAGGGCCAGGCATGGTGGCTTACAATCCCAGCACTTTGGGATGCCAAGGTGGGCAGATCACCTGGGGTCAGGAGTTCAAGACTAGCTGGCCAACATGGTGAACCTCCCCGTATCTACTAAAAATACAAAAATTAGCTGGGCGTGGTGGCATTCGCCTGTAATCTCAGCTATTGAGGAAGGTAAGGCAGGAGAATCACTTGAACCTGGAGGCAGAGGCTGCAGTGGTGCTGAGATCATGCCACTGCACTCCAACCTGGGCGACAGAGCAAGACTCCGTCTCAGAAAAAAAAAAAAAAAAGGAGTGCATGACAACCCACAGAGCAGAAGAAATTCATTATATGTATATCTATAAAAGATGTCCAGAATATATAAAGAATTTCTACTAAACAAAATGACTAACATGGGATCCTGGACTGAATCCTGGATCAGAAAAAAGATATTAGTGGAAAAAGTGGCGAAACCCAAATAGTCTACAACTTTGTTAACAGCATTGTACCAACACTAATTTCTTCGTTATGACAAACATCCCATAGTAACATAAGATGTTAACATTGTGGGAAAACTGGATAAAGGGTATACAAGAGTTCTCCGTACTATCTTTGCAACTTTTCTGTAAATTTAAAATTATTTCAGGCTGGGCGCGGTGGCTCACACCTATAATCCCAGCACTTTGGGAGGCCAAGGTGGGCGGATCACCTGAGG